AAATAAATGAAAAAGGGTATATAAACAGTAAGCACAGGGAGGTATGAGTAGTTATCTGAATATTATATAAAATATATTAAGGCAAATGATTAGTGGAGAAAATAAAAAATAATTCATGAGGAAGACATATGTGGGAGAGAGAGCAATGACCTCCCCCCCACCACCAAAGATATTCACATCATAATCTCTAGAACCTGTAAGCATGTTATTTTACATGGCAAAAGGAACTTTGCATCTGTGATGAAGTTAAAGATGTTGAGTTGAGAAGAATATCTTGGATTATCCAATGTATGGATACAATGTATCCAATGTATCCAATTATCTCATGTAATGAAAAGTCAGAGACAGAGAAGATGTGAGAAAAGTAGCAGAATTAGAGTGGGGTGATGTGAGAGAGATTCCATCTGCCTTTGCTGGCTTTAAAGATGGAAGAGGACCAAGAGCCAAAAAATGTGGGCAGATTCTAGAAGCTGAAACGGACAGAAAACAATCTCCCCTAGAGCCTCCACAAAGGAACACAGCCCTCCTGACATTTCATTCCAGTGAAAATCATTTTGAACCTCCAACCTTCAGAACTGAAAGATAACGTATTTATGTTGTTTCCAGCAATTAAATTTGTTGTCACTGGTTTTAGCAGAAATAGAAAACTAATACAACATACAAGCTATAAATGTTCATGGCCTCCTGAGCCTAAAGATATATGATGCAAAAGTCAACAGGATTAAAGTGAGAGAGAAATGTTCACAATCATGGTAGAGGGTTTTAACACCTCTCACTCTGATAAAACAGCTATACAAAAAAAGTAAAGACAGAAGATTTAAACAACACTGTCACCTCCCTCTATCTAACTGATATTTATAGAACACAGCATTCTATGACCGCAGAATACACCTGCTTCTCATACACACTGTGTAGTCACTGAGATAGATCAGATGCTGGGACATGTATCTCAATAAATAAAAAAGAATAAAAAATCACACAATGGGGTATTTTTGAGCAAAACTAAATTATATTAGAAATAAATAACAGCAAAATATTTAGGAAAACATTAAATATCTGGAGATTAAATCCTTACAAATAACTATGGACCAATGATGAAATCATGAGAAAAATTATAAAATATTTTCAACCATTTGAATGACAACAAAAATACAACATATCATAATTTTTGGGTTGCACTGAAGTATTGTTTAGTGGAAAGTTTAGAGTTTTATATGGTTATATTAGAAAATAAGAAACATCTAAAGTAAATGACTTAATATTTCACTTCAAGAACCTATAACCAAAGATCAAAGCAAGTCCAAAATATATAGAATGGAAATAATGAAAATAAAATGGAAATCAACAAATTATAAAACAGATTTATATATAAAGAATGTAAATTAACAAAGCCCAAAGCTAGTATTTGGTAAATATCAACAATATTGGCAAATCCTTGATTAGAAAAAAGAAAGTCTTTTAGAAAATAGCGTTGAGTTATTTTGATAGATGTATGAAAAATAATATATATAAACTCCACAAAAATGAATCCAAAATAGATCATAGACTTTAATGCAAAATCTAAATCAACAAAACATTAAAAAGAAAGCCTAGAGGTGCCTGGATAGCTCAGTTGGTTGTGCCTGCCTTTAGGCTCAGGTTATGATCCCTGGGGTTCTGGGATCCAGCCCCACGTCAGGCTCCCTGCTCAGAGGTGAGTCTGCTTCTCCCTCTCCCTATGCCCCTCCCCACTACTTGTGCTCTCTCTCTTACACAAATAAATAAAATCTTTAAAAAAAATAAAGTAAAATATAATATAAAATAAAATAAAAAGAAAGCCTAGACATAAATCTTTGTGGCCTTAGGTTACGTAATGATTTCTTAGATGGAATATGAACAATATCATATATGCATCCAGTTTGATAAGGTGGACTTGAGCAAAATTAAAATCTTTTGCTCTTCAAAGAAACATATTTATTCCAGAAAAAAAAGAACAACTATCTCCACACAATGTTCAAAATGTTCACAAAGGCGTTTCATAATAGCCCCAAACTGACAACAACCAAATGCCCATCAACAGGTGACTAAATAAACAAACTATTTTATCCACAAAATGCAAAGACAGGAAAACATTATAAATTTTTGATTCATATTCAACATATCAATGTGTGTTGACTGAAAGTGCTTAGCAAAAAATTAAAATTAAAGTAATGCATGATTCCATATATATAAAGTTTTGGAAGTACAACTAAATTATAGTGATAGAAAGTAGACTAAAAAATGCCTGAGGAGGAGAGTGAAAGAATAAATGCATTACAAAGGAGCTTGAGAAAATTCTTGGGGGTGATGTAAATGTTTGTTTAGATGATTGTGATAGATTTGCGGGCACATCCATATGTCAAAATTGATCACATTTGCCCTTTATATATTGGCATGGTACTATGGTCCAACCATATTTCAATAAGGTTGAGAACAGGGGATATTTATTTTTCTAATTATTTCTACTAAAGAAGAATAAAGTTAAATTTTTAAAAAAGGAAAAATTGATCACATGTTCTAAAAGCTATCAATAAAACAAAACAAAAATTATTCTTAAAACAATGGTTTAATAGTTGAAAAAAAACTATTTTATTACTTTTAAAATAGTTTTACCTAGCCAGCTTCTAATCAACAAGAAACAACAATCTCAAGGAATGTTCAAAGAATTTTCAAAACATTCTTTTACAAAGCAAGTTGTTTTTTTTAAACCTCCCTAAATAAGAGATACTATATAATTTGCTTGTGAGCTTTATTCTAACCATTTACTTCAGAAAATTAAACAGGCTGACCAATGTCTAAACCTTTATTTTATTTTATTTTATTTTAAAGATTTTATTTATTCGACAGAGAGAGTGAGAGTGTCAAGCAGGGAGGAGTAGTAGAGGGAGAGAGAGAAGCAGGCCTCCCGCTGAGTAGGGAGCCTGACGCAGGGCTTGATCCCAAGACCCTGAGATCATGACCTGAGCCGAAGGCAGACACTTAACCATCTGAGCCACCCAGGCGCCCCAATGTCTAAACCTTTAAAGCAAAGGGGAAATACCTCTGTGATCAAAAGCAACTTGTACTTTGTTATATCAGTCCTTGAAAAACACAGTGCCTTAAGTATTTTTTTTTGTATTAAAATATTCATATATTAAAAGATCACAAGAACATGCAATTTGTACTGCAACATACAATCCATGTGTTTACCCCATTATTTTTTACCTAGGTGAAATCACTAATATCTAAAAATCTCACATCATTTTATATCAGCATTTCACCTTATAGGGGATATTATTCTCCATCTATCACTTTGATATTTGAATTCAAGTTGAGGTTGATTTAAATCACTGTTAATCCAGTGTTCTAATAAAGCATGAGCTCTGTTGTATTCATTTTGGGTCCACAATCACTCAGTACCGATTCTAAATCTTAAACAGCTCAATGAAAAGACCCTAGGTTTGATCTAGTATGGCTTTTTAGAATTCTTTTCAATGAGGTTTTAAAACATAGACACAGAAATTATAGATCTTAATTTAGCTTTTCATTTATTTCATAATGAAAACTTAGGTAGGCGTCCATGGAGGGCAATTTAGAAGTTTTAGGACACCTTTGAAGGATGTGGCTATGCTTGAGTAAACATGTTTTGTCACCCTTAAATTTTTGCTCATGTAGGTCCATATTAAAGAAAAGGAAAAAAATAACAAAGTAAATTTTGGATTAAAATACATATTTTGAATTATAAAATATAAGCAAACATGTTAAAAGTTTGAGAAATATTTATAATTTGCTAGAAATGTTGACTTGAAAAAGAAATGTATATATATTAATATGTAACATATTAATATGTATATATAAAATAATGGGAAAATAGTAGAAAACAGTATTATGAAAAAAAGCTAAATAAATTATTAGCATCACTTCTTCCTCTGTATGCCCTGAATAATATCATAGCATTTTTTTTTCTTTGTTTTTTTTTTAAGATGTATGATGGCAATAAAACAACTTTCTTGGAAGTTCTCTAACTTTAGCAAATGAAATCTGTAATTTGTGAAATAATTATTTAATATCCTTCATAATTTTTTTTATAATTGTTTAATTGGCCTTTCCATGAATTTCTTAACAAGGACACTTATGAATAGGTAAAATAATATGGATTATTTGTGTTTGTTCTTGAGGAAATATTTGCTTTCTAAAGACATTTTCAACAAGAAAATACATCTTATTTCATAGTTATCACTGCATTCTATCAATATTAATGTACTAGAAATTCTCCAATAGAAATGTTTTGTCAATAAGAGCATCTTATACACTCCCACTATGACAGTTATGTCTTCTTGAACATCAGAGAATCTCCAACATTGATGATTCTTGAATATTTATTGAAAATAATATTAAATTTCTTCCTTTTTATGAACATACATATGAAATTATTCTAAAATCTCATTGAATGATGTAAGGTGGATTGTGCATGTACATTAGTCCTCATATTCCACCAATCTCACATCTCCTTGTCATAATTCCTCTTTACAGACAATAAGCATTATTCTGATAAATATGAATGCTGATATATTAAATCATCTTAAAAATACTATTTTATATCTTATGAGGATGTAAAATAATTCAACAAAATAACTACACAGGTGAAACACAGGACCATTAATATTATAAATCAACAGATAAAACTAAGGAGATACTAACCAATTACTGATAACTAATACAATTCAATTTATATTGTGTTTGGGTTAAACACACTGCAAAAAAAGAAAATCACAATTTTCAGAATAAGTAGTATCAAAACCATTAAATAGCACTGTGAAATGCCCTATAACATCCACTAGATGTCTCTAATAACTGACTCTGAATGACTACATTAGTTCTAGAGCTATGAGTCAAATATCGAATCATGAACTTCAGAGGTATTTTGAGGATCCTACCAAAATTCGCATTTTCCAAAGCAGACAAAATTGTTTTAATAAACATACAAAAGAAAAATAACTTACATTCAATATCAAGGTACATGCTCTTTTGGTGCCCTCCAATCCTACTCGCAGCTTCACAGTCATATCTCCCTGAATCTGACAACTTCACATCTTTAATATGCAGTGATGAGCTTCCGTGATGCCCTTTGACTTCGATACGGCCATCTGGGCTCTGTCAACATCGATTCAGGAAAAAGAAAGATTTTACGCTTGTTTCATACAAATGATGACCAAACATAGGGTGTTTATCACATATATGATAAATGAAAATAAAGTCTTAACTGCATTACTTTTTTTTTTTTTTTTGAAAGCAATGTTTCTGTATTTATGACTTACTGTTTTTTGGCTTTTCCATTGTACCTTCCCACTTGCTTACAGGGACACTAACATGTAGTAAAAACTTCAACACATGTTTTATCAACCTCTTTTATTTAGTGCACTCTGTGCTTTTTAAAAAGCTTGCTTGTTCTTCTAGGAAGGGCTTTGTCGGCTTCCAATTATGCTCCTTGCAAACATAACAGAACAACAATGCCTGTTCAATTCTGGCTGAAACCCACCAGAAAATGATATTCCTCCTTCACTTTAGTTTCCAATTTCACCATGTATAGATAATGTATCAAGATGTCTGAGAATTAAAGCCTTTAATAAGAATTTATAGTTATTTTTGAATGAATGAAACAGCACTGTTCCTAAACCTATTTAGTACATTACTCATAACAGATAAATTATTAAAAACAGCACTATTTAAGTCATTCTTAGAAAGTCAATGGAAACAACATGGAAAAGATTAATCACATATTTGATGAATATTGATGCAAATCAAGGAATTGCTCATAATCCAATAGCCTATAGATTACATTTCAAATAAGAATTCTTGTGTACAACCTAATTGGTATACCTACAATTGTTTTCTTAAATCACTTAAATACCTTTATAGCACACATATTAAAACAAAGACAGTTTATTTACTGAATTTTACTTTGTACAATCAGGAAATATAGTGAAATTTGGCATTTTATAATTAATTTGTAAATGTACTTTACTATTATTGAATTGATTATTTTCAATATTTTAGGTTTTCGTGCCTCAATAAAAACTTCATACCACACATTTATTTTGAAACATGTAAGTTATTATGTAATAATATAATGGTTGTTTAATTTTCTATATAACTGAAATTCAAATAAATTTCAATACATGTACTTTGTATTATTAAAACTTGTTTATTTTCTTTTATTAATATCAACAGACTATTTTAAAGCTCTTTTTCAAACATGAAGTTGACTGAGATACAATATGATCACTCTTTTGTCTTCTAGTTTTATACGGGCATGCAATTACTATACAACCATATCAGTCACTCATAATTCATTTACCATCATTATCGTAAAAACGTTCTTTAAAAACAAAGAAACTGGGCGCCTGGGTGGCTCAGTTGTTAAGCGTCTGCCTTCGGCTCAGGTCATGATCCCAGGGTCCTGGGATCGAGTCCCACATCGGGCTCCCTGCTCGGC